ATGGTCCTTTATATCCCTTGAAATCACCTTTTGAGTAAGGACAAATGTACTGTTGTCTGCATATGATGGTATCTGCAAATGTTGTAAAAAGTTCATCTCTCCATTGTACCTGAAAAATTTGATCTCTTAAGCATTCTCAGAGCACATCCACCTGGATGAAATAAACTTGACACAAAACCAAGCTGATGGTACTGTCTTCTGCAATGAGAATTGGTCAGGGTATTTGACATATGTTTAACTCTTTTTCCCAGCCTTTGCAAACTAGCAGCTAAGAAATTGAGTACTCCTAAATAAAATGGTGTTTCCGTCTCTTATGAAGGTATTCCACTTTCCATGGGATTATTGAATACTCATAGGCACACTAGAGAATGCTCTAATCATTAGTCAAGGTAAAACCTAGACACTCAAGCCACTGGCAACAACCGAGGCCACTTAGAAATCTAACACAGAGACAAAAAAGACACCAAAAAAGAGCAGTGACATACGTTTAGACATAGGGTTAAAACTCAAGTTTCCTGCTAAACAGTCCAATATATCAATTACACTTTTCTTGCTTGTGTGAGATGTATTTTATGTGTGTAATCTTACTCTCTCTCAGTGTTTAACTATCCTGTAATGGTGGATTGAAAACTCTATCTTCACCCTCAGATGTTTTGTAAATTTTGTGGCCTGAGAAGTTGAAACTCATTAAGCGAAAGAAACAACTTAGCCCAGAGTTCCTGCTTTCTTTATAAGCACTCTAATGCTCAAGCTAATGAAAGATGGGGTAGGTGACAGCATTGACAGTTCCCCCTCTCCACCTACTTCTCAAATAAAAGAATCATGTCCTTTCATTTTTCATTCAAGCATCTAATTCCTGAAAGAAGTTTTCACCCTGTGAATCCCTGGCAGTATTTGCCACCAGCTTTGAATAGCATAAGTCCTACATAGGCATGATTCAAACCATGGCATTTCCACGTGGCTGTCTCCAACTGGCTCTTGGCTTAGCCTGCTAGCCTTCTTGGCTTCTAGGAGAGCTCTGATTTCTTGTAAGGGAAGCCTAGGTGACAGCTTATCGGTGCCTAGGTGACAAAATCAGGCATGGAAGTACCTAACTCTAGTCACAGATTGTCTGTTGAGAGAATAGCTCTGAAGCCTTAAATTATTTTTCAGTTGTTGACAGCACATCACAACACTTCTGTGCAATGTCTTTCCTGTACAATCCTCTTGCTACCCTAGTTCTCAACATATCTTACATCAAAACATCCTCTGCCTGGTGCTCTGTGAAAGCTGATTTGTTACTCTTACCAAAAAGTGCAGCTTTTAACACTAGACATTATCACTTAAGCTTTTGAGCTTGTCTTTGGTCTCTTTTCTGCTTAGAAATATTCTCATTTTTTTGCTGCTGTAGTAAATAGAGTTCTGAAGAGTATTAGTCCAGCAGTTAAGTGCATTTACTTTACTACTTAGTATCAAAAAACCCTCCAAAAGAAATATGAAGTACCCACAAACAAACTAGATTAAAATTAGTCTCAAAAGTTGTTCAGTGTTTGATTGTGGCCCCCAAAATATACTGAATATGATTAGTCTAAATTTTATTGACTTTCAATACATTCAGTGGAGTATATTTCACTCTTTTACTTTGTAAAGTACTTTTCAGGCTACACCACGCTCCATTCACCATTGTACGACCTCAAAACAAGTGGAACAGTGGGACAGTGGCATAACTCACGTTAAAATCACATGGAAGGCATTCAGCTGAGTGCATGCAGACTCTTACAATGTAGACATTTACAGCTAAATGAGACACCCGCTAGTCCTGTTACTGTTAATGGAGAGAAACAGGCATTTCTAGGATGCAACTTGGTTTATTCTAATGTAGACAGCTAAAATAGGTTAGATGAATCACACACTAGAAGTGCCTATTTCTGGTTCCCTTTATGCTCAGCAGAGAGACTGACTAGCTCAGATGCAGACATTCCCATAGTAGACATCTAAAGTTAGGTGAGATGAACAACCAAAGATGTCTTCCCACATCCCTTTTAAATGTCTTCTTTAGGAAGAAAATGTCAAAGAATTATTTTCAGCTAACACTAGCCTATGACAGCAGCTCTCTGGCCACAGAGAGAAACACAACTTTCCCAAGCATCGTTCTGGGGAAAGTCTGTGAGATCAGAGAAAAGAATGAGAAACAATTCTTATCTCACTTGATACACCTGATATTGTGAACATGTGGAATGTGTTATGGAGATTTGTTTACCAAAGGGTGGTTTCTTAATTAGCTAATAGTAATAGTATTTAAATTGGAGGACCAATTAGGTCCACCTGTAACAAACTAGGGTATAAAAGTATGGGTTTATTAATAAAGATTATTGATCAGCCTTCTGTAAATACATTGAGTCTATGTAGCTTATCACCCAGTGGGGGGCCCCTTAAAATGACCCTAGCCTTTACCAAAGTATAATTCCTCTGAGTATTTTATTTGTAACCTCCTCCTAAAAACACTTTTCAAGATCCAGATCACAACTGATACCCATTACAGACAAGTTTTTGATTTTTTTCCTTTGTCACAATACTGCAATTGTGAATCAATTTTGTATTTCAAATAAATGTGTTGTGTACCTGATCAGTGCTTCCCTAAACAGAGACTACAAAAACTCCAACAGATGAATACAGAAGAAAGCAGTAGATGATAGCTAATTAAACCAAGGCTGGTAATAAAGGAAAATGAGGACTAAGACTATGCTTCGAACTGCCCATGCATGGATATAATTGCAGCAGACAAAGTGAGAAGAAAGGCTACAAAAAATAATATGTCTACAGAAAAGAAGCAAGGCAGCAGAGAACTCTGAAAGCTAATATTCCTTCAGCCACAAAACTTCTGCTTATCATAATGGCTGTTGCTCTCTTTGCCACCAACCTCACCTGCTTCTTTTTGCTTGGTGCCACCATCCTACTGTCAGCATAGTCAGACAAGCAGAAGCCATCACCAGTAGCTCCTAGCTGTATAAACCTTTGAATTTACTTGTTTACTAAGAATTATGCCACAATTTGGAAAGATCTACTTTGTGCTATTGAACGTGTATATCTGTTTATCTATGTAATATAAAAAATGTACAGACTTAAAATTCTGAGGGGAATCACAATGGTGTAATCATACCAGCTGCAACACTACAGCTTCACCCTACATCAGTAGAGCTGTTTATTATATCAGTGTAGAGTTGTTTTTGACATCCTCCCTGCCCCAGTACAATCTCTTCACTTACATAGGTCTTGTGGTTGAATTTCCACCAAGTTGTTCGCTACAGCCCACTGGTTTGTGCCTATAAAGAGTCGTATGTTGGCCATCCAAATACTAACTAGATCTTTGATCCTACATTTCAAGAAAGGTAAACTTTCAACTCAGATCTTTCCCCTCAAGTTTCCTGAAGTTCTACAGTCAACCTCCTGAAGATTTGGCTCACCATGTTGCCTATAGAATCCATCAGGGATGCAAACAGACAGATAACTTCTCAGCTTTCTCTCTGCATTTTATACCTACATTTTCACAAAGCCAGGAGTGGCTACACTCCTGATGGGAGACAATATTGTGGAAGAAAAGTCAGGCAGTATCCTAGCATTTTAAGGCCATCTGTGTATACACTGATGCGCATTTACTTAGACTGTAGTGTTTTTGTAGTTAAATAAATCAGTCAGAAACATGGGAGATGTATAGCAAAAAAAAAAAAGAAAAAAGTTAGCAAACAAATTAAAGAACAGTGGAACATCTCTCTGTATATAAAATGTTTTTTCTTCACATTCATTTTTGCATATTCTGGTCTCAAACATTAATATCCTGGCTTCAGATTGACAGGAGTTTGAATATCTCCAAAGTCTGAAGCAGTAACATCTGATTTATTGTTTAACCCTTGGATATTTATATTCATGAGCTATATCATTTACAGAATCTGTTATTCCTCTCAAGCGTTGTTTTCAGAAGGTCAGATGTTCAGATTTAACTTGCCAGAGCCGTAATGTGGTTTCTGCAGAGATGCAGAGTAAGGGCTATTTGCTCATCTTAGGCATTGCGTTTTGCACTATTAAATTATCACTGGAGAGTTCACCTTGAGAGCTGTTGCCTGAAATGTATAATGGTTAACCACCACAAAAGTTGCCACCTTGCAATGCACAAAAGGCTATTCCTACAGCGGCTGATTCAAAGGCAAATTCAGCAGCAGCAGTTAATCACATTTACTATGTTAGAGTTGGATTAATTTTGAGCAATACTGAGCACAGCTCATGAAACTCTCAAAGTTTCATGAAAATAATTTCTGATGTCGTTCATTAAACGAGCTGATGTGAACGGGAAGGAGGGCTCTGTGAGAGGTGCGCTCAGCAGAAAGGTTTACTTGGAATAAGCCCCGTTCCCGACTCTTCTCCAAATGGTGTCACGCAAAGCTTCCCTTTCAGCGATCGCATCCAAGCGCCCGCCTTCCTGAACTTGTGAACTGCAAATTTAACGAGTTCAACAGGACAATTCTCGAGTGTAAAATAATATCCTTGTCTCCAGTTTGGGAACTCGCTGAAACCATCTATTTAGAGGGGCACTGCCGGGCTAAAATAATGCGGCTATTTAAAAACACCGCCCTTGCCGGGGGTGCCGCGGGGAGCGCTCGGCTGTCCCCAGCCGGGGGAGGGCACAGGCGGTGCCCGGGGGCCTGCCGAGCACGGGCGCCGCAGGGGAGGCGCAGGGTCGGGTCGGTCCGGGAGCCTCTGAGCGGTGCTACAATGGCGATTCCACCCCGGTTTTACCCGAGGTGGCGGAGGCAGGGAGCGAAAGAGGGAGGGAGGAAGGGATGCCCAAGATGGACGCGCCCCGCGCCCCCTCAGGTGCGAGGGACCCGCGGCCCTCCCCAGCCCCGCCCCGGCCCCCGCGCCGGGCGCGCCCACCCGGGCGCCACTCGCGCAGACGCGCGGCGGCGGCGGGGAGGGGACAGCGCGGGAGCGCGCCCGCCGCGGCTCTTCGGCCGGGCTGCCGAGCGGGCAGCAGCAGGAGCGGCAGGAGCAAGAGTGCGAGTACCCATACCCCCCGGACCCTCTTCTCCCCGGGCAGAGAGGGGCCGCACCTTCCCGTGAGTACCGACCTGGCCGTCTCTGTCTCCGCGCCGCGCATCACGCAGAGAGAGATGGATGTGAGACTGGCCCGCCGTCGCGCCAGTATCACATCCATCCCCGCGCACCGCCAGTGTGACATCCCCCCGCACCGCCGGTGTCAGATCCATCCCCGCGCACCGCTGGTGTCACATCCATCCCCCCGCACCGCCGCCTCGACGGCGAGGAGCCGCCCGTCCTCCGTGGGTGCCGGGGCTCCTCCGAGAGGGCGGGCGAGGAGGCACGGGCTGAGCCCGCCCGGGGCCGCGGCGGCCCCGCGGGGCTTTGTTGCGGCAGCGGCCGCTGGCACCTCCCGGGGCCGGCGAGCCGGGCGGAGACGCTCCTTGGCTGCGGCGCGCCCACATCCCCGGGCGGGCTCGGTCGCCATTTCGTGCGCTGCCCGGCGGGGGCGAGGGCCGGGCGTGTGCGGGGGAAGGAGCTGTCGGTGCTGAACTGCCGCCGTCCGCCTTTCGGCTCTTGCTTGCGCCTTTATTTGTCACCCGTACTTTTCTTTTTTCTTTCCCCGCTCCTCACAGTTGCGGTTTTATTTAGGTATAAAATAGCTACAGTGTGTCTCAATTGTGGGCTTTTCGTGTTTTCCCTATTTTGGCTTCTTGAAGGCGATTAATGCAGAATATCGTGGTGAAGTCTTTGCGGCGAGCGCACTTGTCTCTTTGGTTATAAACTAATAATTAACCAAACCTTCAGCTGTCGCTGAGGTCTTCAGCATAGATGTGTTAGTTTCGAAGTCTGAAATGTGTTTAAACCAAGGCTTTGGAGTCTAAGTGTAAACAGTACCTGATTAATAATGCCAAGCTGTTTAAATATTTAAGATCATAGTGTGCTTCAGCCCAGTTAATAAGGCTGTTCCATATTGACAAGTACTCTGTGAAAAGAATGCTGTTGCTTAGCTCTGTGTAGTTGGATAAAACAATGGAAAATGTGATATATAGCTCTGCAGTGAAACCTATGGTTCATGACATGATGTTCTTTTATCCATAAAGGTCCAGCTTTTGTGTGTTTATTCAAAACAACCTCCTACTGAGCAAAGAAGGTAGTATTAAACACCTGGGTTTCTTTTTTCTAATGTTCCGTGTCTTTGCGTTTCTTTCTCTGTCTGATTTTGATTCTTAATTAAGTATATTGTGGAAAAGGTAGATGAAACCTGAAAACTTTATTGTATCTAATAGGTGCACTATTAATAATTTCAACATCTCGCATAATTTAATGTAATGGATATGATAATTTATGGATAGTAGTTATATGGGTCTGTGCATAAAACAGGTCACTGTATGACATCAGAAAGCATCTGGACTGTCTTTTGATTTTGAGAGCAGCTTATATGCCAAGAGGCCAGTATTGCTGCTGTTCTTTGGCAAGAGACATCAGCTGGAAAGAGAAGGGTAGTTCAGTGTTGCACAGCTCAAAGGACCTAGAAATCAGAAAACTGACTTGCAGATGCAGCATCTTCTTAATATTTGTCTAATGTGTTTGATGTTATTATTTGTATGAATACACCTCAGGCATTTGTTTAGTTTTGAATAGAAATTGCAATGCAAGTGACCAGAGCTCCTAATGAGTGTGATGCCGAAGTCTGTGAAAGTTACTTATTTGAATTTCAAAGTACTTTGAAATTCTCTTGTGTGTCTAAAATTAGCTGTCAGACTATATCAATATAGAACTGGGAAAGTGTTACATTCTGAGAATATTGAATGTAAAGAAGCAAACCCAGAAGGCTGCTTGGTGGTGACAGAACTTGGGATCCATTGAGTGAATTCACATTCTGGGCTGTGCAAAGGCAGTGTAGCCTAAGGCAAACTGTATAGTTGTGCGGCCACATCGGATGGTCGAGTAGTGTACACCAGCTGGTGCTAAGGATGGAGCTGAAACCTGCTTCACAACTCACAGATAAACCCACAACTACTCATAATAGTATCTTAGTTCTGTCATTAGCATTACTGGCCACAGTAGAATTATTCAAAAGTAATAATATTCAAGGTGAATGAGATCACCAGAATCTGAGCCTTAGATACTGGTCCATATCTTCTTGGACAAAGCATATTATTTATCACATATACCACAGCTTGTTTGACAAAAAGAGCTGTAATAAGAAAATGTGGCTATTTTTAATGGTCTTTATTTTAAGAAAATGAAATAAATCCAGTGATGCATACTGATACCTCCTGTTAGCTTGTTGTACTGTGGTGTTTCTCTTTGGTGCTCAAAAAGGTGACAGCAGAAGCTTTAGTAACCAAGTTAAGAGTTTCTTGGGGTTATTAAGATGTCTCTCTAATTGTCAGATTTTATTATTTTGAGGATTCCGATTTCAAGTCAGGTAATGCATGTTGCCTATTCTTCCTGCTTTAGAGAAATGACTTGCCATGGTATCTGGGCATAAAAGATATGGAATACACTAAGGGTTTGGCATTTTTTTGACCACTTTGATTGAGCTCAAATAGCTCAATCAGCCTAAAAATTAAATCTGTTTTGCCTGCACCTGTGAAATTGCTGTTATTCTGTAGTTTTGTTCATCTGTCTCAAATCACCTTGAATTGTGATTACTTAACTTCCATTATATTGGCATAGCTCGGTAAAATTGTGCTGTTCAATTTTCACTGGACTTGTTCGTTTCTTCATGTTTTATGAACAGAGTTGGTAAAAGGGGAAGTCATACAGAGGAAAGTATATCTTGGTAATGAAAGCTGAAGGAATAATGTAGGAGGTATTGTGTTGGGCAATATGCAATGAATTTGATTTTGCCTTCCTGAGTGGGCTGATAGTATTTAAAAAATTCTGTTAATACTTTCTGTGCAGTGATAATCTGTTGCATTTTAAATTGGTGTGTGTATTGCCTGTTCAGTTCAGTATTAAGGACATTGCAACTTCTGCATTTATGAATACTGTCTCATAAATGTGATATTAAGGGAATTTGTAGAGTTAATCTCTAATAATAAGATTAACATGACGCACCGTAAGTTTTGTCCTGCAGTTTGTTAACCAGGAAGGGATAGTTGCAAGCTGGCTATCTTGCTTTCTTCTGAGCTACTGGAGGCTGGCTGAGCTTTCAGTTATTTACCTCAATAGAAAACTAAAAGGGAAAAAGTGAACAAAGGAGGTCTGTTTTGCCTGTCCCACTTGCTGGGCTGTTGTCTTTGCCCTTTTCAGTGAAGGAGGGGGTAGAGCTGGGTCAGAGTTGAAGAACACTGAAAAGGAATTCAAGTCTTATAGTGAAATGTGAATGATAGCTTAGTTTGAGTACCGAACACATTTGTTAGAATTGATGTTTTTCTGTCTGCGGGAGCTTTAACTGACAGATGGTGATGGACTGGCATATAGACTGCTAGAAGGTGCAGCTAGATATGTGTTCAGACCCTGATTAGACACTCAGTAAATAAGTGCATATCTGATGGGACTTTTAATACTGGAGATACTGATGCTAGACACTGTGTGACACACTAGACATTTGATTGTGTGAATTAAGGGCAGACCCCTGCAGCTGGCATACATTCAGGCTTACTTGTCTAGCCTAATTGCATTGCAAATACTCGTCTGGATTGATCTTTAGCTTCTCCCTTCTAGTAGATGTTGAATAAGTACAGAAATGTTCATCTGGATCCTCTATTAACTGTTGTTAAGAAGCTTTCAATTATTTTTTTTTTTGGTTTGCTGTATGAATTGGGATGCATCCTAGCATTCATTTTGTGAATACACTGTTTTCCTACACTGTTTTGGTTTTGAAATGGCTCAATTCATAATGTGGCTACAGCTTTCCCCTTGTTAACTTTTTAGTATGGAAGGATAACAGCTTGAATTATAAAATGTTTTTGTAAGAGCTCACAGTACCCCCATTCTCCTTTAAGCAACTAAACTTTATATAAAAAAGCAGCATTTGATGCAGAGATTTCAGATGCATAAAAATAGCCAAGAGAGGAAAAAAAAAGGCTAGTTCAACTTATAAGGACGTGATACCTTTAAAAAACAGCCTCATTAGAAAGGAACTAGCTGTCTAAATTGTCAGTTACATCAGACAGAATTGGTACAGATGTTGTCTCTCTAAATTCTGTAAATAATCATGTAAGACTGCTGAATTTGGATGCATCCCAATGGGAATTGAGTTGCCCTTATACTTTGTCCGGATCACTAGGTATACATGGGTTTTAATTTCCTTGGGTTTAAAGTATGTAATTGTTACTGTTCAACAGCTTGTTTGAGGAAAAAAACCCTGATCCATAACTTGCTGGTTTTTCTGGACAGCCAACCAAAAAATTAACATACCATTTTCCTTTAGACTGTTACCTAAGTGAGAATGTGACAGCGTTTATACATGAGTACAATTGTCTTTTTCTGATCTGTGCCTCTGACTTCAAACTGTCTTTGCTCTGTGTTTTCAGTGCTGCTGTTTGTCCAGCACGATTCTGAGGGTTCATGTAAAGGACTGCCTTTACAGTGTCACAGCAGTGTAGGGCTCTGTGTGTGTATGTGTATTTGCAAAGGTGCTGTGTAATCAGTGAGTGCAGGAGTCAGCCTTTCAGCCAGCTCTGGAGTCAGGAAACAGTTCTGGTGCTGGAGGGCAATTCCATAGAGTTCACTGACCAGAGCACAGGGGCTGTTCAAGGGGAGTGTTGGAGCATGGGCAGGGTAGTAGAAATCAACAAAATTCAAAAGACAAGAAAAAATTAATCTTGAGAAGGACCACTTTTCAAGAATGTTTAAGAGTTCAGTGGTGTTCATCAGTGGGCTTGTTCACAAGTTTCTCTTTGTAACAAGGTCAGTGGTTCTCTTCACTGTTTCTCCATTTAGAAGGACTTAAAAGTAGAGTTTCCCACCCTTCTGCTCTTCTTATCTCTAAGACAGTCAACGCAGGAGGTGCTTGATGTGCATTCCTTCTTCAAATTTTCAGGTGATAGCAGGAAGAGGAAAGCCCGGCCGCAGCTCTTCTTTGGGTGTTATAAACAGGTTTAGTGACTTCGTTACTGCCACT